GGCACTGTGGCTCAAGTGGTAGAGCGCTAGCCTTGAGCTGAAGAGCTGAAGGACAACGCCCAGGCCCAGAGTTCAGGCGCCATGACCGGACCCAAAAAAAAACAAAAAACAAAAAACCATGCCTACCCAGCCCAGCCATGCCCTGCTCAGTCCCCTGCTCTCCCCCTGCTCTGATAATAAAAGTAGCAAGGGGGCTTGGGGCACAAGAGGGCCCTACTGTTGCAGATTTCCCAGGGCCTTTGAGAGGATGAGGCTGGTTAAGGAGAATGGGTTGGTCCATGACCAAAGTTCTGCCATGAAAAGGACTGCCTCTGCTGGCATCACTTCCACAGACATGGTGGGTATTAAGTACTGTGGTAGGCCCAAACAGAGTAAATGCACAGGAAAAAAGTCTCTGTGTGGGGGTTGGGGATTTAGCTCAGTGGAAAAGTAGTTGCCTAGCAAGTACGTGCATGCGCACGTGTGCATGCGCGTGCAAATACACACACAGCAACTAGGACCCTGTGTGCCTAAGTAAAGTGGTATGTGACAGGAAGCAGAGGAATGCAGTGGACAGACTAAGTCCATTTTCCAGAAAAGGCCAAACTATAAGGAAGAAGATGCTAAAGCTTGGAGCAGGTTAAGCTCAGCTGCAGAACCAAGAGAATTCACCTGGTGAGAAACTCAAGCTTCATCTTTTACTATGAAGACAGTGACACCACCGAATCTGGTGCTCTGGGGTTTTTGGAAGAGAAGAAACTACAGATGTCCATTTTAAAAATTATTAAAAGAGAAGACACTTTTTCTTACCAACATACAAATCTGTATGTATACTCAGTACCTGACATCACAGATAATGCATAGACTAAGCTTTTACCTTAGTCACAGGTGACGGAGTAATTTTCCAAATGAGGAGTTTCTCTTTGCAAACCAGATAAGCCCATCCACTTTCATCCACAAAGACAGACAGTGGATCGTCAACTAAAAGGGAAAAATGAGGCATGCAATTAATCTTAAATTGCAACTGTTTAAATTTCCTTATAGCACATTCTTCAACAGAACAAGTAATAAAAATGCACAAAAAGATTAATTCACTACAGCCAGATGTGGTGAGGCATGCCTCTAATATCAGCTACTTGGGAGATTGAGGCAGGTGATGGAAAGGTAAGTACAGTTCAGGTAAAGTTAGTGTGAAATCCTCAACAAAATACAAAGGAAATGGGTATGTGGTTCAATGGGTACCTGCCCAGAATGTGTTGAGGCCTTAAGTTCAAATCCCAGTACTGTTCAAACATGAATTACAAAAAAAAAAAAAAAGGAAAAAGAACATAGAAAAGCACTATTCCAAAAAAGCACAAAGGACTAGAGGTGATTCCTTAATGAAAGAACTGAAGCAATGGAGGGCACTCGGCACTCGCAGTCTCTCTATTCTTACTCTTAGGCACTCTTTTTAAGTTTATGTTCACTGCCCACCCCCAACTCCTACACCTAGTTCTCTGTCAGCAGAACGTTCTAAGTAGTATGAACTGATACACACAGCTCCTAAGATACTACATGGAATACATTAACGAAGGTGGAACTCCATCTTACTCTATTATTGCTTTTTTATTAGCTTACATTAGCTGTACAAGGGAGGGCTTCATTGTAACATTTTCACACAAATACAAATCATCTCTCTCCCTTAATGCTCTTCCTTATTTCCCTTTCTTAAATAGTTTAAACTGATTTCATTATTCAACTTATACATTAAAAAACAAACTACTCCAATTACATTCCTCCTCATTCATTCCCATGGTTAGCTACTCCTTTCTAGTTATTTACCCTTACTGCATTATCAAACCAATAATGCAAAGCACTAGGTTTTTGGCTTTTTTATTTGTTTTGTTTTGCCAGTCCTGGGACTTTTACTTAGGGCTTAGGCACTGACCCTGAGCTTCTTTTGCTCAAGGCTAGCGCTTTACCACTTGAGCCACTGTGCCAACTCTGGCTTTTTTATGTGGTACTGAGGAATCAGACCCAAGGCTTCCTGCGTGCTAGGAAAGAACTCTAACCCTGAGCCACATCCCCTCTCCCTGCCACACCTGTTTTTGTTAAATAGTTAATCTTATACCTGATCGACTTTTGAAATGGTTCTGAATTTTGCAGAAATGACACAACCATTAAAAACTTAATGTGTTGTGTTAAAATAATTGATTCTCAAATTTATAAATCAATTGAGTGAAAAATTAGCTAGATTCCCTTTTCCTCTCCATAGGTGAAAGTATCCCAGAGAAAGGCAATGGTCAACCTCCATGCCAGACCCAGGTTTTGTCTGAATTGCTAATGGGAGCAAAGATGCCACTTACCCTCAGCCATTGTTAGGGCTTCCATGACTTTCACAGGGAGAGATGATCCAAATGTTTTTACATCATAATTCACAAACTCCATTATGGACTGGTGTGGGACTGTCCGTGTAGGTGTTCCTCTAAAGAAAAGATACCATATCAAATAACTCTACTCACATATTGACATTTTCTACTATCTTAGTCTTTATGCATGTGATCACACATTAAGGAGATTTTTGGTAACAAAATGATGCAGTGTGCCAGTGGAGGAAAAAGGATCATGTGTATTGTGAATAACTGGCTTCAGATCCTATGTTCAGTCATTGAAATGTATAAATATATGTCTCTTCTCAGGAAATCAGTACTTAATTTTCTACCAGTACTGGAGCCTGAACTCAACACATTCTCACTGGGCTCCCACCCACCCCACTCTCAGCTGATTCTAACCACCTGAGCCCTGCCTCTAGCTCAGCACTTTGAAGAGCACTTTTCTAAACACATGGGTATAGTATATTCCCTTATAATCCTTCATCTTTAAAGGACTGACTAATTTTTTCTTTCCTTCTTTCCCTCCCTCTCTCTCTCTCCTTTTTGCCTTTCTTTCTTTTTTTTCTCTCTCTCTCCATTCCTTTCTTTTCTTGTGCTGGTCCTAGGGCTTCAACTAAGGGCTCAGGCACTTTCCCTGAACTATTTTGCTCAAGGTTGGTGCTCTACCACTTGAGCCACAGTTCCACTTCTGGCCTTTGGGTGGTTAACTGGAAATAAGAACCTCACAGACTTTCCTGCCCAGGCTGGCTTTGAACCACAATCCTCAGATCTAAGCCTTCAGAGTAGCTAGGATTACAGGTGTGATCTACCACTGTGTGGCTGAATAATTTTTATATATAAATTTTAACAGAAAGTCAAAGACTCAACATTTGTTGTTTTCCTGTAAAGAAAATTTACTATTGAAAGATGAGCAGAAGAAACTAATGAGGAACACATGTTACCTGCTTCTGAAGTTCTGGATTAGTTTAGACAGGAGGAAAAGCAAAATTCCATTAGTCACTTGGATTGGTGCTCCTACTTGTTCTACAGAAGACTTTTCCCCATAGCAGATCTACAAAGTTAAATTTTATTGCCAAAAGCCCTGCAATTACCAATAAACAGTCGCAAAATAGTTGTGTATCAGACCCTAAACAATTATTCAGGGGCTATGAGATCTGTTCTTTTTGCATGTGTGTGTGCCAGTCCTAGGCCTTGAATTTAAGGTCTGAACACTGGCCCTGAGCTTTTTGCTCAAGCCGAGCACTCTATCACTTGGGCCACAACTCTACTTCCTGCTTTTTGGTGGTTAGTTGGAGTTAAGAGTTTCAGGACTTTCCTGCCCAATCTGCCTTCCTTCAAACAGCCTTCTGAGTAGCTAGGATTATAGGTGGGAGCCACCAACACCCAGTCAGCTTTTTTTTTTTGATGGCACTACTTCAGTTTGAATTCAGGGCCTCACCCTTGCTAGGCAGGCACTCCACTACCTCTATCTAGTCTTTTTTCATCCAGGTTATTTTTTAGAGTCTTGCTGCTTCTTCCCAGGGATACAGCTAGATGTCAAAATGCCCGTTTTAGGCTTTCTGTGGTAGCTGAGATGACAGGTGTATACCACCACACACAACTTCTTTTGTCCAGGTGAAGTCTTGAATGCTTAGCTGTGGCCTGGCACAGTCACTCTCCCATTCTCAGCCTCCGAAGTAACTAGAATTATGTAGGTTTGAGCAACTAGTACCCAGGGAGGCTCCCTGCAAGAGGTCATTTCTCCTTCCTTATTTGAATCGTTATTATTATTTTCTCCTGTCTTACTGATGCCAAGGCATTCCAGAACAATACTAAGAGTATGAAGAATGGGTTGGGTACCAGTGGTGTACACCTGTATTCCTAGCTATTCAGGATGCTGAGATCTAATGATCTCTCTCTCTCTCTCTCTCTCACACTCACACACACACACACACACACACACACACACAATCAAGGTAATGTGAAGGGCTTTATTTCATTTTAAGTAACTGACCTTCAAAAAACAGATTTTTGTCTTTTATCCAATTTTTCATATTTCTACTTGATAAGGTATGGTGTACAAAGATGAAAACATTTTCCTCCCATTCCTTGAGAATTTGGAAATTAAGCATATTTCTATTATGGTAACATAATTATCTGTATTAAGGTTCTGTAAGAATCTGTTTTCTTTGACATAGGATATAACTGGAAACAATGATATTACCAAGACCTTGGACTGGAGGATATACATACATATCTGAAGAATGCCTTGTGTGCTTTCCTAACCTTGAGAAGTTTAAAAGGTGCAATCTGAGTTGGGCACTGGTGGCTCATATCTATAGTTCCAGTTACTCAGGAGGCTGAAATCTGAAGATCGCAGTTCAAAGCTAGCCTGGGCAGGAAAGTCTGTGAGATT